TCTGAGGGACACTTATGATCCTGTTCTTCTAGGGTTGCTGTTGAATCTACAGAAGACAACGATTTAAGTAAACTAGGTGTATCAGACGATTCAGTACACTGTTAATGACCACATAACAAAGAAACTGCTGGTCTTTAAAATAGCGTTTCGATTCGGCCATTAGGAAGTTCGATTTGGAAAATCACTCAGTGGCTTACTACATTGATGACCAGGCGTTGATGAGGAAATGGTCACCTCTGACTGTGTCGAATAAGTGGAACACAGTCTTTGAAGTTGTGGTTACACAGTTGTATCAGAGCTATGTATTGCCTTTCTCTCATGACCATCCCTATTCTGGTCACCTAGAAATCAGGAAAGAGTGTGATCATCAGCCCACTATACAAATAGACGTAACCTAGTATTGTCGCTCTTGCCATACCTGTCAGCTGGTTGAGAAACCCAACCAAACCACTTCACCTAGTCCCCTGCACCCCATTCCTGCATCAAAGAACCATTTAAATATATAATATCTTGCGTTGGACCCTCCATACCCTGAAGGTATTCCCTTGTACAATTTGAAATTGAAAACTGTTATTAAGGCTTTGATCAAATTCTGTTCCTTTGTCCGCCCCATCTAGTATCCTGCTATGTGAGAACTCCCCAGGGTTCGATGAGCTGTACATTGGAAAGAATTGTTTGGCGTGTGCAGTTTCACTGCTCAATGGGACATTAGGTCCTCGATAGAAAAATCCCTGCTTTTGCAATGCCAGACAAATTTGTTTTGGGCAAGGTATGTTAGCTAGGGGTAATCACTAAGTCAGTCTGTGTGTTTTTATGATTTTGTCCTGGGTCACTCCTGCAGTTATCACCTGTGTGTTGTTGTACCGTTTGCTTGTCATCACTACTTCCAGTAACATCAGCTCAATATACTGTCCTGTTGTCCATTTTTATTCATTGAACCCACTACCCATTCTGTTACAGCTCAGCCCTAAATTTGTGGTTAAAGCAAGGGTTAAGTTAGGATTGCCTTAAAGGGGTAGTTCACCTAAAAACTGAAAAGAAATGTTTAGAGGGGGTTTTAGTGCTATCTGTCCATCTAGGTTGTTCTACTGGGAGTTGCCCAATTTTGGAGATATCAGCCGTAGAATTGTCAAGCTTCACTCGAACATGATGGAAGTGAATGGCATTCATTCTGTGGTGATTAAAGTCTAGGTTAGGAGATGGGATCACTATTAGGGTTAGGAGACAGGATCGCCATTAGGGTTAGGAGATGGGATCACTATTAGGGTTAGGAGACGGGATCATCATTAAGATCAGTAAATGTCAGGGTTGCCATTAGCGTTATGGCTCGTGTTGATTAGTTTTTGGGATATGGTTAATGTTTGGTTCAGATTTGCAGTACAATTAAAGCCACAGTTTGAGTAATGTTTCTGATTTTTAGGGCTATGTTTAACCTTAAAATATGATTAAGATTATGGTGGGTGTCACTGGCTGAGCTTGGGTTTAGCTTTGCATTGGCTATTTTGTTTTAAAGCTAGGCCCCTGTTTATGGTTATTATTTTGGATATTGGTAGAGCTAGCATTAAACAAAGAGCATGCATTATATATAGAGCTATAATTAAACATAGAGCTAGCATTATACATAGAGCTATTGATAGGAGTAGGTTCAGCCTTTGTGTTGGGGTTAAGGTCAGAGTTACAGTAGCATTATTTTTGGTGTCTGGCTTCATTTTAATCATAGGGTTATAGTGAACATAAAGGTTATAACATGATTAGGATTAGAAGGATGGGTGTGTCCTGTTTTGGGGCAGGAAAGTGAAAGCTAAACTACAGGTTTAACCTTCCAGTAGAAACGGCCTTCCCAATCCAGTAAAATGAGCCTGAATGGTTTTTAATCCCAGCACTGTGTGTTATGTTCCCCCTCCCCCGCTTCCTAAAAGGAGCCCCAGTGCATGGGGTCGGATGTCATTGCTTTGGTGAGTGGCTGGGTTGGGTGGGGGGAATTGCAGAAAGTGCCTGCCGTGTCTCACAAAGACGTTCCTGTTTGCACTCGCGCCCCGCTCAAATTCTTCTCCACCCCTCCGTCACCACCTCTCCAGTGTTCTGGGCCAGAGCCTGGACAAACACAGCATTAAATGATAGATCAGTTCCGTAACGGGATCCGCGTTGCCCTCCCCCGATTAAAGCTGAATCGCACATATCACTCTGTACCCGTTCTCACACTCAACATAAACACATGCACAGCCCACTCGTTGTCTACGGAATTAACTGATTTAAAGCACCCGGTTCCAAGCGTTCTGGAATGGCGGTGGTTTGCAGGGAGGTGGTGGTCTGTGGGAAGCAGGATAGTCAGTCAGCTCAGTCTGCAGGCGAAACTATATGGTACAAATAAGTAAACAACATAAACAGTGACGTGCAGCTCCTGCCAATACCTTTAGTAAGGTTAACTGGGTTAGGTTTAGGGTTAGGGTTAGGCAATTTAGCAAAGTTACTCAGTTAGGTTGCTTTTGTTTTTTTTCTACAATAATGACACATCATACAAACTGAAACCGCGAAGGTGACATCAGACTCTTTTTTCCTCGTTTATGCTGATTGCGTGAGTTCACATGTGCTCTTCATTATTATATTCATCCTCCAACCTCGTGAATGAAAAATGATTCCTCCGATTCCTGTCTTTGATCTCCAGGGCTCTTCACGCTTTCCCTTGGCTGAAAATCAGGAAAAAAATTACTGCATACTCATCCCCCCCAACACACGCACACATCTCTCCCTATTGCACAGCCATTTACAAGACCTTGGGAAAAAAAAAATTGGATGTATTTGTCTTTAATATTTCTTCGGAGACGCTGACTGGAGTACAATGCATCTGAGAGGGCGTGTGATAAATACCGTGAGCAGATTTTGACACGTCCGGTGCATGATTGCGATACCATAAGGGAGCTCGTTTCCAGTAAAGATGTGGTTAACCGCTGAGCGCCAATCAAAAAGCGCCAGGCAGAATGTTTTTTAAGGAAAAAGCAGCTTGTCTGATGATTCATTTGGGCACTTTGATGTCCGCTCAGTGAAGTCGGGTTAAACAGACGGCCTTGGAGTGCCGGCCTGAATGTTTGTGGTTTGCAAAGACAAATAATGCTTCCATCTCTGGAGTTTGCTGGAATGTGTGTTTTTTTTTTTACCAGTTTTTGAAGCTCACGAGGTGTTATGATTTAAATCCTGCTAAATTGGAGTTTTTTTTTTTTTTAAACCAACAGTGAGCCTCTTAATGATGGTCTGATTTACCCTTGGACTTGAGTTTGTTATTTCATTTGTGAAGAGCAGTTTCTCTCTGATGGGGTTCATCCTGCTGTCCTGAGAATCTCACTGTCCGCCCTTTAAGGCTGATCTAATCTCGGTATGAAATTATACCTTAAATAGCAACAAAATCCGAAACTTCCCCTGAAAAGAGCAGAGTAGCGTCATGTCCGCTCTGAAGCCTAAGTCTACAACGGAAACGTGCTTTAACAGATCATTGTTTAATTACTTCAGTTGCTGGGCAGATGTTTTTGTTCACCGCAACTTAACGTGAACCTTTAATGTGGCTGAAGGACTTCAGTGAAGCACCCAGGTGATTAACAGCCCCCGGCCGCCTCCGCTCCACACTCGTGCTTCTCCTCACTCTTAACCCACCTGCTTTCATTCATCTTCCACGAAGGGGATTTTCAGCCAGAAGCATCCAGGGGTGGCCTTTAGAACTGTCTAATAATCAGTTATGTAGGATTTTCGGTGGAACAAGCGTGCGTTTGTGAAGCGCGGGGAGATGCAGTCGGAGACACACGCTACACACACAGACACGCACACACACCCTCAGAGGTGGTTTTAGGTCCTCCTGTGCCTGAGGGCTGCCCTGTATCCCCCAGAAATCTCAGTCTGGGTCTTATTCAAATCAGGTGGGGATCTGGCCCGACAGTACGGCTACTGATCGGCTGGGGTGGGGGGGGGTTACACATGGGTGTCCTGAGGTATAAAGTTACTCCTTTTTCAGGTATAAACCCCCGACGTTCCTGCGTGAAAGAGGCGTTTCCCTCCGTTTCCGTGGCCGTCTTTGTCTGCGGCCCAGCGGCGTGGACTCTGCCCATTTCTCGCCAACCCACGTTCATGGAACTGGCCCAGGTGCCTCCTCTCCTCTTAGGCGCCTTTTCTTTCAAGCTGGACTCATTCGAACGGCTCACATGCATCCCACTCGGTCAGTGGGGGTGCCAACGGACCCCATGCCCACGTCCCTCAACCTGCCTTCCGGATTCCTGCAGTCCGTCAGGAGCCATGCGAAAGCGAGGCCTCACTCATCTCTTTAATCCCCTTGTTGTTTTTCGGCGGTGCCTGGGGGTCTCTCAGCCTGCCGGAGGGCTCGCGGCTTCTGACTTTCACCGAGGAATATCCACACTGTGCATTGTCCTCCTTGTCCTAAACAAATCCGTTGATTTGTGTCTGTTTCCATTGGTCTCCTTAACCCCGGGTGGACCAGCGTAAGTTCTGTCCAAAGTACAGAAACCCAGACATCTGCCATCCTGTTGACAGCAGGAGTCATCTGCCTGAGACGAGGTCCATCAGAATATCATCCGAACCCTCTAACATCTGGGGCAAGGTGAAGTGGGTTGACGAGTCCCACCATTCGCCACGCCACCTAACCACTGACAGCACCGGGGGGGCAGCATGTGGCTCAGAAGGTTACTATTCCGAGCCCAGCCTCAGCAGAATTGTCATGTCTGTGGGCCCTTGAGCAAGGCCCTTAACCCCCAGCTTGCTGTCAAACTTGGTCTCACCTACATGTGTGTCATGGAGTGCAAGAGGCGGTAGGCAATAGGAGATGTGTCATTATTATTATTATTATTATTATTATTATTATTATTATTTTAAAAGGGATGCCAGTTTTCTCTCTATATACAGACCACACCCCCAGACCTCCTTGCCACCCAGCATCCATCTTCTTTCTGTTTTCCCACTTGTGCTGAAACTGAAACCGCTATCTTTTGTTTTGGACGCTCTCCAACATTCACTGAATGCGTACCCCAGTGACAGTCCCCTTTCCACACCCCCACCTAGATGTCAGATGGTTTCGCACGCCATTGATCTGCAAGCCCTTCGCAATTTTCGATTGACAGATCCAGAGAGCCGCGCACCGGCCTGGTTTACACATTAAGCCATTAACATCGGCAGACGTCGCCATTGATCGTAACATGAAATCAATAGATATTGAGATTGAGTGTATTTCTTGGAGCATGTACAAGGTAAGTGCCATTTTCTCTAGGATAAACAGCTAGCTGTTGCCCGAACCTCTTCCGCTTATGGCCAGATGGCTCTTGGGGGGCGGGGCGTGAGGGGAAACATGGGTGTTCTGAGGTTTGGGTGGAGGAGTGGGCTGAGAGTTTGGGGGGCCTGATAAGCTGGGTAGTGTCGGACCCAAACCGCACACGAGATCCGGGAATTCTCTCCCTTTGCGTTCAGAAAACCAACACGAAGCAAATTCCTTTATTAACTGGCTCATGAACGAACCTTGTCCATCAGAAGAGCCATGGCATCTGCTTTCAGCACCATCCAGAACCAGTGACCTGCTCGCCGCTTGGACCGGGCGGCACCGAGTGGAGCACAGGCTCCGCCCAGGGAGCGGACGGCTTTGGACAGAGTGAGTCTGATGCGAAACCACAGCCACAATCTGCTAAGTACTCTGCAAATATTTAGATTTATTTTCTTCTTTTCCTTGAAAAAGTTACAGATTATGACTCTTAGCTGGTTTTCTCGACCTGCGGTTGCAGTTTGATTAATTTCCAGTGTAAATCATTTAGTGAAAGTTGTTGTTTACTTTTGTGTTTTATTTGCCTGTACAAAGCTTGGGCTTTTCTTTGATTTCAGCCAGAGGATGTCTGGTGAGACGGAGAGGGAGGAATGGGAAGGGAAGCGGGGAGGCTGAAGCTCAGCTGACCGCACTGCCTGGCACGTCTGACGGTGTCCGAAGTCTCGCGAGGGACTGACTGTGTGGGCAACAAGCTTCACTTTCTGGTACTGGGGAATTATGGGAAAGGGTGGGTAAGGACAAAAATAGGGTGATTGGGGTGGGGGCGTTGGGGGGGGGGGCTCCTCTCCAGATGCACAGCTACCTTCCCACATCAATTAGCGGCTGACTGTCGACATATAAGGACAGACTAGTGTACCAAAAACCATGGTCACACTTTCATTAACTTTCATCGCGGCCATTTGTGTGCTGGGCCTGGTGTTCCCTAGGGTTTAGGAGAGCATATTTTAAAACCATAAATATCTTTAAATATATATTTACTGTACAAAATTTCATCACCACTAAATCCATATACATGCCAACATCACTGGTTCCTTTGAGACTGTCAGAGTTTCATCCTCAGCACATATATAACTGTGAACTCCTCAGGATTACCAGCCCTCTGTGGTTATGGCAACAGCAAAACATTTATCGCTAATGGGGTGTAGGAAAAGAAGATTACGACTGTATTCCTGGTTCCTGTTACAGGCCGACGCAAACGCTGACAGCAATGGCTGCTGTAGGGTGGCAAAGTTCCCAGCGGGGAGAGCGAGGGAACGTAGAGGGCATCCTGTACATCTGACACGACATCCTTCCATGAGAGGCTCCACCCTGCAACACTCTTACTGGGATCCTGCAATGGGAACGGTCCAGAAACACCAGGAATGTCAGTGTTCTTGAGTCATATTTGAGGTCAGATATGAAAAGATGATTAATTCAAGCAAATAAAATATAAGGATTCGTGACTAATCGTCTGAGACCCTGTCTCTAAGCTGTGAGTCTCTCAAAGGGTGAGTGAAACAGGAGTCTTGATGGTTAAAGTCGCTAAACAAAGCATGTAGGTTATAGCCTCACAGACCCAGGACACGTATCTTACAGACAAGCTGATATCTATTCAACTATCTAAATTGGTTTAAAAATATATAATTTGGTTTGGATAATAGTGTCAGTTGCTTGACAACATGATAATAATTGCAATTAAATTCATAATCATTTTTTGCAAATCCGCCGAATGCTTCTGTCCAGAGACACGTGGCACGCAGCTCCCCACAGAACAATCTGTAATGCTGACTCTCCTGAGAAACGCATGAGCCCACAGCGTTACAGCCACGCTTCCCCTGTATCCCAGCAGGCTGGTCTATGCCTCAGGGACGCTTCCAAAATCAGGCCAATGCAGACACATTTCACCACGGTAGCTCTTTACTGCCTCGCTCTGTTCTCTGCTGCCATCTGGTGGCAGGGAGTGTAAGCAACATATCGCGCCCTGATTGGCAACTGCCTTTACTTAGTTATTAAATGTTGATTGAATTTTTTTTTTATCTATCTGTAATTCAAATCCCGACAAGGATATATTTTTTCATACAGGGACGCATGTGATAACAGAAGGGTCATAACAGATATTTGGTACTTGGCCCCCCACCTATGAGCAGACCATGACCTCAGGCAGGTTTACTGGCCAGGGCTGAGTGATCTCCACACCACTATCCCTGCACATTAGTGTTCATAAAAAGCCTCAGGAAATGATTGCAGGAGTCTAGACATAAGGACTGATTAGACCCAAACTATGACCTGCCTATATGCAATCCTCGAATTACACAGAACCTCAGGTTTGGGTTTCATTCCCGTCTCAGTACGAACCCAGGAAGATCAGCTCTACCTGATAACATATCTGATGATGGATTAATTGCTAAAGCTATTTAGGGTCTGCAGCACGTGTGTCTCCAGTTTCCATCTGTGTCCATCTGCTGTGACCACCCTCATGAACCATGCCCAGAATGATCTGGAAAGATCTAGCAGGTGACAGGTAAGAACACTGGGAGCGTTTAAGCAGGTGTGAGGTCACTCGTGTTCTGTGAGGTATTGATTTGAGCTCTATTGCTGTAGGCATGACGCCCACATTACTCTCCGACCGGGGGGGGGGGCTGCTGTTACTTCAAATATGGAAACACAAGCAGAGGTGTAACCCTGAACTATTTCACTTGTAGAGCTTCTGTCAAAATCCTGTTATATAAATATGTAAGATGTGTGGATTTGTGTTGGATAAATCCACTGAGCAAATGAATAACACTCTGCAGTCTGTCAGCTGCAGGTATGCCTAACTGTACAGTAAAAAATAATAATCTCTTGGTAAATCTTGAGAACATAGTCAACTTGTGAGAGTCAATCCTCAGCTTGACAAAGAGAAGCCTGTAGTTCAGGCTGCATAGCTGAGGTTCTCAGAGACATCGTGCCCTAAACCTCAGGAGCTCCTGGGAGGAGCTGAGGAGACCTTTCCAGCCGTGATTAATAAGCTGGGTGTTCGAGGTTCGAGTAGGCGTGTTTCCAGGGGCACTTATTTGCACGCATGTTTGCACAGTCCCGCCAGCCGGGGCAGACAGCGGCTCGTCTTATCCGCCTCCCGGCATTCGTTTCCAGCGCACCGTCGAGCGCTAACAGGAAATCTAGGAAGACGTGCCGTCTGCCGGCCAAGGCAAACAACAAAGCCTTCACTGGACGAGCACGTGTATGTGCAGCGCCCTCTACAGGTGACCTGTTGTCGGTGGCTATTTTGTTTTTACTGAAAGACATGCTACTACTGTTCACTTTTTAGGTTTCACAGATGGTTTGTGAGTAGATCCCCAACCCGGGGATTTACTTAAATTATTCACACCCCCTACCCATAATCCCCTGTCTCCCATGTCCGTATTTGGAACGCAGGCCTCCCTAACATGCCTGCATCTGCTGCTCCGGCTGCATGACTCGTGGGGTCAGGAAAGGTACTTGATCATGAAATGCTGCATGTCCTTCAATCGTTTTTTTTTTTTTTTTTGTTTGTGTGGGGGGGGGGGGGGGGGGGGGGGGATGGTGATGTGGGACGAATCCCCTCCCTGAGTAAGCTG